CTATGACCACAACGTCTTTGTTATTTATTAATGGCATACTATAGTATGATATTGTATAACATTTGATACTATAACGTTGTTTTATGACAGACTGAAGTATGATATGTTTTAGTTACTGCCAGTCTTTGAGCAACCACGCGGTTGACCGTGGTGATCATTAGCCTTACATACTTACTATGGTGCTGCCATTGATGTAGTCAGAGCGGGAAGGGTTGATCTCCGCTTTCAGCTTCACCCTCGAGTGGTCATCTTCAGGACAACAGGGACATTTAAACCCTCAACATCCATTCTTCTCTGTTATTTCTTCTTGTTAATGTTCTAGATGTCTCGTGTATCATATTCAGACATGTTTGGTGTCTTTAGACTCACAGGGTACAGAGTCGGGGCAGCGGTTCTTCTTGGCGTTGGCGTCGCTCTGAGCCACGGAGACGACGCTGGGCTCGGCCTGGTAGGAGCACAGAGCCTCCCACTCCTTCATCAGACGGTCCTTGTTCCTCAGGTGGTCCTCCATGTAGGCCTGGGGGACGTTAGCAGCTTATGTCTCTGTTATTCTCTCTACACTTCCACTAACAGCAATGTGAGTGGATCGTAAAGCATGCAAGACAAATAATAAGAAATGACATGGATCACAGACATACATATACATATTTCAATGTACTTGTACTTTTCCAATAAGAAGTAAAGACCCTAAAACCTCCTACTTTAAGGGGCCGTAACATCCGGTACTGACCAGGATCATGTGACCGGTGGAGATGTCCATGTTGGCCTGGGCCGGCTCCTCGCACCACGACGGCGTGCTGCCGTGGGAGCTCGGACTGGGCTGGGCTCCGTCGCTGAACTGGGACGACACGCTGCTCACCCTGGAGTCGGTACCTCCGCCTCCTGCTCCTCCACCTACGACACCAGCACCCCCTCCTCCTCCTGCACCTCCTCCTCCTCCTGCACCTCCTCCTCCTCCGCTAGCTCCTCCCACGGCGCCGAGGGCAGCAGCTTCCAGCCGTCCGAAGGCGCCTTTGGAGGACATGTGCTGGCGACACAGGTCCTGGTGAGCCAGTTATGCATCACTGCTTTATCACGTTTATCGTGCTCTTTAATATGTTCTATACATATTACCCGAACCATTTGACGTGCTTCTGTTGAATTAACTTGAGAACATTTCTTATTATTTGAATTATTGAGGATTTATGATGTTCAATGCAGCCAGTGTGGACATCTCTTTAAATGCTGTCTTGTTCTTGTGATCCTGACTGAACGTTTCTTTTGTTCAGAGCTGATGACATATTCCTAGTTCTCCCTCCTCACCTGGTACTCCTGGTGGGTGAAACTGCCCCCCTCGGGTCCCAGACCCAGCTTCTTTGCCGCCAGCCGGTGGGCGTGGGTACGCAGGCAGGCGATGGTCATGGCCGCCACCAGGATGCTGCCCATGCAGGCCATGGCCACCAGGGTGGCGAACACCCAGCTGGAGCCTCTGGGCTGGACTCGGGTCGCGAGGGGCAACGCCTTCCCATCATTCCTCTGTGGCAGGAGGGAGAAATACGATTAATTAAGGAGGTCGACAGGGTTAAAAAAGTGAGGAAGAGGAGGAGGAGGTATCTCTTCCTTTATTCCTTCCCATCCCTCTCAGCAGGAACCTGGGACAAAAATGTGCCTTTCATCTTCCTCTCCTTTTCCTCCTCCCCTCTCGTCCTCCTATCTTCCCTTTCTGCCCTCTCCTCTCATCCTTTTATCCCCTCTTTTCCTCCCCTCCTTTTCATTGTCCTCCCTCCCTCCCTCCTGTTTCCTCCTCCTCCTCCTCTCCTTGGTTGAATTGTCTCTCTTGACCTTTCAGGCCTCCTCCTTCCTCTCTGTGGGCCTCAGGAATGTGAGGCGCTCTCTGTCTCAGTGCGTGCGTGTGCGTGTGTGTGTGTGCGTGCGTGTGCATGTGTGTGTGCGTGTGCGTGTGTGTGTGTTCTGAGGACATTAAAGCCTGAGCTGCGGGGGTAGAACGGGTACTTCACCTGCTATTATAAAGGGGCCCGTTGGGTTTCAGTGTGTGAAACAGGAAAGAAAGAGAATGGATGAGCAGGTTACATGTGGTTAGAGGTGGATCGCTGCTTTACGAACCTCACATGAGATCTAATCATTACAAGTCACGTTTTCCTCTCTACAGACAAATAAAGATTCACCACATGAAACACGAGATAAATCATTTAATAAAGGGCCATAAAACTGATGAAACTTGCCTTTAAAATGTGTAAAGTTGTCTCAATAACAGATCCTGTGACGTACTTTAGATGTTTTTGTGCTCAGATAATGAAATAAGATCCCTGCATTAAAACTCACTAAAGGTATCTACAGATACATTATAGATATAATGATAACAAACAACATTAAGCAGGGAACTGTCACATCGAGAACGTTAAGAACAAAAAGTCACTACTATTATAGGAACATAACAATAGATAATACATAATAAAGGACTTATATCACTGAGAATATTATAGGAATATGACACAAAGAGCGTAAATAATTAAAATCACATTAAATGACATTAGATCCTGATAGTGAAGGAACATTATGTAGATAACATTAAGTACATAAATGTCACTTTAAACTAATTATTATTCATCTTTATCAGAATAGATGTTTTTGTGAAGTCATCGATGAGAATAAATGGTCATAAATTTGACTTCAGGCTTGACTGATGAACTAACTAACTCTGCATTATTAATAATAACCTTTAATCTTTTAATTAGTCATGTTCTCACTCACCAAACACACGATGCAGAGCAGCGCTCCTCACCTGCTGCTGCTCTCACATGGACCCAGTGCCCAAATACCGAGAGTGTCAAGCTAGACTGAAATCAAACTAACTGGACTTCCGGGACTATCTTTCACAATAAAAGTGTACGCATTTGTTTTTTTACGTTTAAATAAAGGATGCATTTCCAGATCGTGGAATAAATACAACTTTATTAGTTCTCATTTCTCATATATACGTATATATATATAATTTTTCATAATGAGTACTTTAACTGTTGGTACTTTAAATGTATTTTAATATATATATATATATATATATGATCAGCTTTTCTGCCTTTCTTCTTCTCTGAAAACATTCCACCATCACCCACCTCTCCAACTCCGCTCTGCAGCACCTTCAGGCCCGTCTCAGACTCCGGGAAGTTCTTCTCTGCAACTGCAGAAACAAAACACACAAAGTGAGCCTGCTGCCTCAAACCTGGAGTTGTTGAGGCACTATGGCTGACAGTATTTGAAGAAGAAGAAGAAGAAGAAGAAGAAGAAGAAAGTAGTAGTAGTAGTTTAAGTGTGACGTACCGGCTTTCTCTGCCACGTCTTCAGCCGTCAGGTTCTTGGAGTTCGGTCTGATCCTGAAGGTGATCGCAGGTCCGACAACACTGCAGACGACAAAACACAAGAGCATATACACACAATACTCAATACTCAAGTAATTCAGGTACATTTGAGTATTTATTTATCTTCGTTTCTTTTCTCTCAGAGGGAGATGTTGTTTCTTCCCATCTTTATCTGAGAGGGAAGTCGCTCCAGCAGGTTTCTACGTCTGGTTTGGTTTGATCCCATGAAGGAGGTTCTCATGAGGAGGATCCAGAGCCAGATGTTCATGGTCCTACCTGATGTTGATGAAGGAGTCGGTGGAGAGGCCCATCCTCTCCGACAGCAGCTTCAACAGACTCAGCCCGTCGTTCAGACTGAGGGGGCTGCGGTGACAAAGCGCACACACACACACACACACACACACACACACACACACACACACACACACATACGTAAACACACATTTACACACTCATTCATCAGAGGTGGAAAGTAACTGAGCGCTTCTGGTATCGTTTCACTTTTATATTGAAAATTTTCTGCTTTTTCTCCTCCATGACTGATATCACCTTCCTTCCTTCCTTCCTTCCTTCCTACCTTCCTTCCTTCATTCCTCCCTACTGTCCTCCTTTCTTTCCTTATGTCCTTACCATCATTCTTTGGTCTTTTTCTCCGTCCACGTCTGTTCCTCACAAACACAAACAGACTCACAACATGAAGACAACATCATCCACAGCGTCATTCATCCACACAGGAAGTCATCTCCTGATCGGTGGAGGAGGTGAGCGTACGGTACCTCTGATAGGTGGAGGAGGTGAGCGTACGGTACCTCTGATAGGTGGAGGAGGTGAGCGTACGGTACCTCTGATCGGTGGAGGAGGTGAGCGTACGGTACCTGTGATAGGTGGAGGAGGTGAGCGTACGGTACCTCTGATCGGTGGAGGAGGTGAGCGTACGGTACCTCTGATCGGTGGAGGAGGTGAGCGTACGGTACCTCTGATAGGTGGAGGAGGTGAGCGTACGGTACCTCTGATTGGTGGTGATGAAGCCGTACTCCTCCGCCTTGGCCGTCCTCAGGTCGCCCTGGTCGGCTGCCACAGAGGGAGGCGAATCTTTCTGGGCTGCTTCTGGTTTGGGGGTCTTGACGGTGGAAGGTGGAGCCTCAGGGGCGGCCATCTTGAATGCCATTGAACCCTCTGTGACCTGATGGATAACGATAGATAAACGTTTTACTGGGGATCTGTGAGTAAGTACTTGAGTATTTCCCTTTTCTGCTACTTCGTACTTTTTACAGTAATAGTTACTTTAAAAATGTGTTTTCAGGAATATATTATTACATCAAATAATCAATAAGAAAGAAAAAGGATGTTCACCTTCTTTCTTGTGGCAGCATTGCTCTCATACTCATCTGAACAGGGAACAAAAAGAAGACAAATGATCTGCACCTCTGCATCACTCACAGCGCTTGAGTCTTATTTCATCAGACAGACAAACGGCTGACTTGAAGCTTCAGTTATCTTGTTGTCATGAATGAAAGCAGACGAGCAGACCGACCTTCGGTCTGCTTGCGGGCGAAGGAGTTCTCCAGCTGCAGCTGCTTCAGAGCGGCCGGCAGGTCGTCTCTCTGCTCGGGGGACAAGTCGTTGACGTCGAGGCCGTAGTGGTCGAGCAGCAGAGCCAGCCTCTGCAGAGAGTGCTCTGAAAACACGCCGTCGTTACTGGAACTCAACTCATTTCAGAGGCTTTCTGTCTGAGTTCAGACTTTACATTCAACATGTGGTTCTAGCACGTAGAAATACAAAGACCTGCATTCAACATGTGACCAAAGCATTTAAATAGACTTTACTATACTATGCAGAATAAAAGCTATTATATTATCATACTAATGTGCACATAACTTTGATGTTATTTTCCACCACTGCATGTTTGTTGATCTGAATTTTAAACCTCCAAACGTTGAAGGAACTTTTCAGCTCCACACTTATTTATAATATATTTATATATAATATAATATTTTTGATATTTCTTTTGTCTGCATTTCTTTATTTCCTCTCTCACCATCCAGTCCTGACAGGGCGTCGTACTCTTCCTGCTCCTTCCTCTCCTGCTGCTGCTGCTGCTGCTGCTGCTGCTTGCTGAGCTGAGCCACCTGGGAAACGTAGTCCTCGCTGTAGTCCAAGGGGAAGTCCAGGTCTGGGAAGAAGGAGGAGGAGGAGGAGGAGGAGGAGGACAGTGAAGAGGGGAATCCTGCAGCTGCTGGTACCGCCCCTCTGTGGTGGGAGAGGGACTGCACAGGGGAGGAAGAGGAGGAAGAGGGGGAGGTGAGGTAAAAAGACACCAGGTCCTGGAGAAGCTGCCGGTCTCTGTCCAGAGGGTTTCCTTGGGATTTGGATCGAGAAGGGGAGGCGAAGGCTGGATTATCGTCCAGAGAGTTGAGGGAGCGCTCCTCTTCCTCCTGGTAGCCGTACTGCTGCTGCAGCAACACATGTGCACCAGAATCAGTCTACGTAGAGCTGAAAACACTCCTCAGACACAGTATCGCTTCATAAAAGAGCAAATACAGTTGCATAGTTATGTCTATAATCAGGATAAATGCATGTTTAAATGCACTCTTTTGAATGAATGATGCACACTCCTCCCACCTGGTGGTAGGTGTAAGGGTCCAGCAGGGGCGTCTGCATGTGAACGGAGGACTGGGAGGGGTCGAGGACCAGGTAGTCCACGTACTGCTTCATCATCCCGGGGTCAGCTGGATCCTCGGGCCCCTGAACCCTCCGCTGACTGGGGCCCGACAGTCTGGACATCCTGGGGCCCGACAGTCTGGACATCCTGGGGAACACCACTTTTAATTCATTTCAAATGTGTGTCGTTGCGTTCTGGACTGATGCTGGAGGTGTTCTTACTGGTTTGGAGACTTCTCATGAAGTTTGGAGCCGACAGTGGGGACGCGACTCAGCTCTCGGCCGATGATGGCCTGCGTGACGCCGTCCCTCCAGGTCAGACCTGAGCAGCGACACGAAGATACTTTCTCTTACTTCTCTCTTAGCGGATGTTAAAGGCTGATGCTCATGGAGCTTCAGTAGAGACCCACCTTGCACCATCAGGTCTTTGAGGACTTCCTGCAGCCTGTGCAGGACGGGGACAGACACCTGGTACTGGACGGGCTCCTGGTGAGGAGTCTGGCACTGACCGAACAATCCGTCTGCACAGGAAGAGAGCAGCCACTCAGCTTCTTCACGTCTTCAAACTGTCACTTCAATGTGAGCGTATCCAGCAGGAGCAGAGTAAACACTGGAGAGGAGAACCCGCTTCACATCCCTCTGTACTCTGTTGAGGACGGACTGTAGTCTTTGTTCATATCTCCATCTCTACACCTCCACGGTAAACAGTAGAATAACGCTACACGCTTCACAGTTACAGACATTTCACCTGGATGGCGTCCGACTGTAAAAGTTGGACAGGAAGCTGCTTTTTTCACAACACATTGTAAACATGTATCCATGCAGAGAGTTCATCTGCACAGGGTTAGAGAGCAGAGGTGAATCTGAAGGGTCCAATAAGACAGGAAGTAAGAAGTCACCACTAAACTTATGTTTATTCCTTCTCTCATCTTCGTCTTCTTAATATTCAATGTTTTACTCCTCAGGCCTCAGTGCATGTGTAATGTTTGAGTGAAATCATGAGAGAACCCTCTAGAGCTGCAGCGCTTCATCGGTTAGTTATGTTAACCGACAGCTATTTCGATCATCGATGAATCCGTTATTGTGTCTCTTTACTCCTCTATGACAGTACACTGAATATCTCTATTGAGTTATGGACAAAAGAACACGTGAGGGCGTCACCGTGGCTTCTTTCTGACATTTCAAAGACCAAAGAACTCGACTTTCTTGATTAATTAACAATAAAAATGGTTCAAATATGATGTCGGGTAGAACCCCTTTAAATAAAAGCACACCAACTACTACTACTACTAATACTACTGTAGTATATGTATGCACCAGAGACATAATCTATCATAACCAAGAAAGTATTTTGAGATGTGATTGTGAACACAGAGCTGATGTTCACTGAAGGAACAAAGCAGGAAAAACACACATGAATATGACCATAATGTACAAATACGCACGTAGACACACATGTACACAAACCACATAGACAAGCGCACAAAACACACACAATGTAGTGCCAGAAACACAGAGTACATGTGTACACGTGTACACAAGTGTGTACATAGAAACACATGTACACTTCACACTTGTACACACACATAGTGAAGCACAGTGTGTGTGTGTGCGTGGGCTGTGGTGAGTCATCGCCTCTGTCTCCCTCCATCTCTCATCAAACACACACACACACACACATGGGAGACACACGGTCGTCAGGCAAGTGATGTCACTGTTGTCATAGAGACGGCCAGGACGAGCCGTGATTGGCTGAGAGCGGCTGACGGAGGGAGACCTTGTTTACGTTGCGCTCTCGCTCCTTTTCTCTCTTTTGTCTCTTCGGCTTCATGTCTTCATGTCGCTCGCTCCACCTTTCTGCCGATGTAACGAACCTCACAGACAAACCAATCATTGTTCACGCCACACACACACACACACACACACTGAAATGTAGTAGTAACATCTGCTGCTTGGAAATGTCTTCTGATTAAATAAACGACAGATTACAGATGTTTAAAGAAACAGAAGGGTTCGCTCGTTCAATGCCGTCTGGAATGTATTGATTTTACTCAATATTACAGCGTTTTAACACAGATTACAGATGTTTCAGGCTCATTGTGTTTATAATGCAGTCTGACGTGCACCCTCTCTCCACACTCTCATTCCTGCGTTTCAGCACATGCACTTCCTCGCGCCATCATCAAACACACGTCGTGACACCTGAATGAATTCCGCTCATGTTCCCTAAATGTTCCCGTCTCTGCAAACATCCTGAAGGAAGACACGGAAACATACCAGCATCAGTAATTCAGCTGCCTCTGAGGGCTGAGACACACAGGTGCACGCTCACGCACGTGCACGCTCTTGTAAAGACATCCCAGCCATGTTTGAACAGGCAGGATGTGTGATGGACAGAAGACACGTCACAGCTTCCTGAAGCGCGTCGCTGCAGCTGTTGCCTGCTGGGCACACACACACGCTCACTATTGGTCGACTTAATAAACTCGTCACGCTGCATTCGGGGTACCGTGAATACGAGCTTCCTACGGGGGGAAGAAAGCGTCCACGTCAGCCTGCCAGAGGAGGATATCTGGGTTTTAACTCGGCCTCGTGAACGTGTGAAAGAGGCGTGTGTGGTTTGAGAATAGATGTTTAAAGACTCACAGACACATATTTCTCCTCACTTCTTCATGCTGTTGATTTAACGAGAGCCGTTGGGTCATTTTAGTTTTCTTATACTGATGTACTCGTCACAGTAGATCAATAAATATGTGATACTCAACGTTCTCTCTGTCTGAAGGAAACCAGCTAAAGGAAAATGAAGCATTTTAGTGATTTGAGTGAACTGAACCTCTTAATTACAGTGAGTCTATGTCAAACATGTTGTTTTATGACCATGATATTCCTCTTGACATGCATTCCTTCTTAGCATTCAACTCAAAGCCCTGCCGCACCCCATGCAGTCCTCTTTCTTACCACTGTCAGGAAGAGGCTCAATCAGCAGGATGGCTCTCTTGTACAATAATACATCAAAGCCGAGCGCCTCTGTGGAGGTAATGAACGCCCTCAGGCCAATCAGAGTGGACTTTAATGCTCATGGCATCATACATGAACCCAACATGTGAAGGCAACAAGGATTCAAAGACGGTAAAACTCACCGTCGGTGCACGGCTGATCTCTGGGACAGAGCTTCTTCTCAAACAAGCAGCCTGCAGACACACAACAAACAGAAACATCAACGCACACTAAGTTTATTATCGGACAGTCTGCGATTGAGAGTAAAGTTCCTTTGTTTTTATTTAAACCTGCCGGTGCTGTGAGAATATTTCAACATAAAGAAATATTATTTGAATAAAAATGGAGGCTTTGATGAGTGAGAGGATGTTCTTCTGGCTTCACTGCTCAGAGAGGGAATCTCCACTGAAGGAGGAGAGAGGAGACGCCGCTAAACACACAACGGAGAGTTTCTCCGTCCGTCCGTCGCCTCCTCCGTCAAAGCTGCACATGATGACTAATGCGTTCTCCGCCCACTCATCCCTCCCCTCTTAGCTCTGCCTCCTCTCTCCTCCAGGAGATCATCGTCTCGTTAAAGTCGTCCTGCAGACTGTCCATCACTGTCACCCCCCCGACATGCTAACACACAACATTACCCGCTCATTACCCACTGTGACCGAGTGTGTAATGAGCCGGCTGATAGATGAGGCCCTGTGGGTTCATCCTGACGTCAACACCTTGGTACATTATCGTTTTAAAAGTACTACCACACTGTGAAACAACTCCTTACAGGTAAAAGTACTATGAGTCACTTGTTATGACTCCAGGGAGTCATAGAAACAGACTCAGCAATGAGCTCTCGGCTTTGATTCAATTTCATCACAACAATAGCGTGAAAATGACCCCACTCAGCCGGCAGCAGGTCTCATCCTGCATCTCATCCTGCTGTTCTCTCACAAACGTCTTTCTCCTGATCAAACTAGAGAGAGACACAGAGAGAGAGAGAGAGAGAGAGAGAGAGAGAGAGAGAGAGAGATAGAGGGAGAGACAGAGAGAGAGAGAGGGAGAGAGAGGAGCTGACATCAGCATCAGCTTCATCTTGTTTCCTGTGTCCTGTGAAGGTGTGGCTCCATCTGAGCAGGAACGCAGCCAACAGAAGATGTTTCCTCGTCTCATTACTAAAAGAGGACTTTAGGAGCCATTCATCCCATAATACTTTGACAATATATCAAACATAATCTAAAGAGTTAATAAGTGTGACGTCTAGTCGCCGTACAAACAATCCTCCTCAAAGCAAAACAACTGGAGTTTACATCCCATCTCCAACCAGTGAGCGTTGGTTTATTTCCACATTAAATCAACACGAGGAGCTGTGTCTTTAAGGTCCGCACCATGACTCACGTTACTGCCATTTAAATGAAGAAAGACATCTAGAAAGCATTGAAAAACTATTTGGACAGTGGTGACCAACTGGTGTAATGTGTGTTTTACGCACATAAGATGACTCATCATCATCAAGTCCCTCCCACCACCACCACCACCACCACCACCACCACCATCATAAGTGCCTTTGCTGTTATTATCCAGTAACCTGCCACATTGGACCATGGTGCTGTGGGAGCGTCTGCAGGCTGACGGAGGAGCTCTAAGGTGGATGAGTCAGCCCGGACGGAGCACAATCAGACCAGAGCGGTGCGGCTGAGCGGCAGCAGAGGCAGTGAGGTTACAACCTTTAGACTTCACACAGACTCACAGTAATCATCTGACTGGAGCTCACATGCAGTACTTACAGCATGAGTCTAATGAAAAGACTCAAATCTAAAGGCCTGATGTATCTTCTTCCTCCATAACAACACATCGCTGTTGTTCCTTCATCGTCATCACTCACTACATGTGGATCAGTCCGCCGCTGAAAGTAGATCCCAACAGATGCAACATTTCCTCTTGTTTGAGAAGAACTACATCTGTGTGAAGAAAACACTCCGCCTGTATTAAAGATGTAACGATATATTTGTGTTTTTAAAGATTTAAAGGGGTTTAAATATCCTTTAAAGGGGAGATGAAAGTTTATTATTATATTTTCATCTTCCAAAGTATTATCCTGCACTACTTGGTCTCGTCTATTACAGTCTTCTCAATACAATCTTTGAGTATGTAGAACACTAAATATTACTATTTTGTTTCTTTTGGTCTTGACTCAGACTTCAACCCTCGTCGATCTCGAACTGGAGACTTGAACTCGCCCCCTCTGGGCTGCAGTCTTAATTCTCTGCCATCATTGATAAAGCCATCATATATTCACTCAATTTATTGATATTTTACTTCCTAAAAACTGTCATTAGAGAACCGTCCAATTAGGCTGTAATGTTTGAAAATGACAGCAAATAGTATTCATTTTAGTATTGAGTTCTTCACAGAAACTTTAGATCCCTGTGAAAATATCACAGTACGCTGAACATACAATACAACTGATGATAGTAAAATACCTTTAGGTGCTATAAACTGGCTTTAAATGCACTATTGTACATAGATATATAATTAATAATCCCTGTAGAAATGTCACTGAATAATGTCTTCGTCTCTGTAATGATATTCAGATGAACCTGAGATAAAAAGGGTTTAATACGCTCTGCTGGTCGCTGTCCGTGGTGCTGAACGCTGCACTGTGTTTAGTGCATCAAGGCGACAGGAAGCCATTGTTGTAAGTGTGAGCAGACGGAGCTGAGAGGTCAGTTATGAGTCATAACTGAGACGTCCTATTATCCCTGCAGGCGTTTATAGTATTTCTATGTTTTCTGTATTTGCTTCTTTGAATCTAACTGCCAAACCTCTCCAAGTGTCAGGTCATTATCGATACGTTTTAGTTCTTACTGCCTTCGATAAGCATCGTTTTATGAGCTGCAGGAACAATTATATTACAGAAACACAAAACCACGTCTCCGTGTTATTGATATTTCACACACAGTAACCTGAGGATCATACGAGGTCTTTCATCTTGTAAAACAAATGAACTGTCAATTATGAGACTGTGCTGTTTGCTGGAATATTCCTCTCAGGATATTAAGATTTTACAGCTTACTGGTATAATAATGTTCTATAATATCTCTATAACCTGTTCCATGGATGGATTACTGAAGGGGTTTACCAGCCAGAGACTCAGGGGCTACAGACACATCTTTGGGTTTCTATATTTTCTATGCTAAAGTATTTAGTGTGATATCTGTGGAGAGCAGAGTCGGTGCAACAGGTTGCTTCAGAAAAGATGTGTTCAGCTTCTCTTCGTCTCCAGCGTGAAGGAAACACTGAAGCTTAGACCTCAGACTTAAGTTCATCCTCACACTGTCTCGTAATTAGGATTTCCAAACCAAACAAAGCATCTCTCTCTCTCATGCTTCATGTCTCAGGGTCTCTCCCTCTCTCCTGCTGTCTGCTTGTGTGTTTGTTGTTGTCTTTGCAGACTGAACAACACGATGATTCATTCGGATCGTCAGACACATCCGAGCTGACCCGTCAGGGCATTTGCGTCAGTGACGCAATTTAGCACCGGAGTAAACAGATCGGAGGCAGGAAACGCAACAGATATGAGATGAAGTCCGGCAGATCTGAAGGCTCTTATGATATCTATGTTTGCTGCACACAGAACATGTCCTCCTTTGTGTTGAGGATCAACACTTCTATATGGAGCAACTTCAAGCGCATTTCTAGAGAAACACAACCGAAAAGCTGCAGTTTTTATGATCTCCTTAATAAATTTGATGGAGAAGATAAAAGCTGGAACATCAAGTGATCAAACTCGCTGCTAAGTAAACCAGTCACTACAGGATCTCTGTGCGGACTTTTCATCGCGGAGTCGTGATTTACGCGCCGCCCTATAGTTCATTAAAAGGGAAGTGCGTCCGTCTCCGTCGGTGTTGGGTCACATCTGATGCGTCTTACCGTGTCGGGCGGCCGCGCACAGCCGGCAGGAGACGGTGAGGAGGAGGCAGAGAGCTGCCCAGAGCCGCGGAGACCTCATGGTACATCCAACATCCACCGGAGCGAGGAGGGGAGAGCGGCCGCTGCTGCTGCACTTCTACCAGCTCTCCATCTCTGAGGAGAGGCTGCTGCTGCTGCTGAGTGAAGGAGAGGGGGTGTGCGAGTGCGTTACACCGGTTGGTTGGAAAACCAGGACCACAGGAGGCTCCACACTGCAAGAAATATTCAATATTCAATATAAAAAAACAGAATAAAGTAGAATATTGTCACGTAGTGGAAGGAGTACACAGATCCTTTACTGGAGGAAAAGTATGCATAAGTCTGCAGATGAACAGCCCATACAGTATTATTATATTAGACTGTTTGGGGCCTAAGGGGCCCCTGAGCTTCTTAAGTTCATAAAGGTTTCATGTGCTGTTTGGCAGAGAACTTTCTCTACATTTTATAGCTTTTTCATCTTTAATACAAATCATTTTTTTGTTTCATTTTGTTATTTTACCCTAGTTTGCAGTTACAGCTAAAACTATGTTTACTTCCATCACAGTTAACACCGATATGACTCATCCTGCCTTGTCACTTTATTACTGAAGAGGATCCAGACGTGTGAAGGCCTAAACTCATATTAAACTGATATTTGATTCAGACCCTCGTTTGCTGCAGGTGACTTCAGAGGAACATCAAGGCTCTCCAAGATCATTTTATTAAAACATAGTATTCACTGAACACTGACTGAGTTTTATCATCACACTCTGACAGTCTCAGTTTGTTTCACTCTGATAAAATCATAAGCTACTTTCTCAGATAACGAGGCAATAGAACTCATTACGTCCACAGGATGATGTGGAAACTGTCATTTCTTGCAGTGTGGAGGAGTTCCCATCTCCTGCACCATGACGTGGATCAGAAGTCCTCCTCCTGCCAGAGACCATCCAGACAGACTGATCATCACATGTGGATCCTCACTGACTTTTATTAAATATGAGCGGTGAAATAAACTCAGAGCAGCTTCTCCTGCAGGATGAAACCTTCCTGATTATTAACAAACACAGAAGAGAACAAAAACCTTTCAACGTTTTATTTTCAGTTGATATGAAAGATGTAGAAGTGTGATGTGAATGGGATCCTTTATTTGGAGGAGTTACAGTGACGAGTGAAACGTCTCAAACTGTTCTTAAGGGAGGATGTGTCAGTTTCAACACGTGTCTATATTAACACCATCATGACGTCTATATTCTTTACATGAGTATGTGTTGAAGTAACACAACCACATGTTGAAGATGACATCCTTTGCTTCCATCAGCTGTTGTTCTTCCCAGCTAGTCGACAACCAGCGAGCTCCTCACTGTGGGGAACAACTGGAAGAAACCCTGCAGGAGGAAGCAGACAGGAAGTGGGAGCGTGGTTTAAAAACACTGAAGTGAAAGAAAAGGAAATGTGGCAAATATCTGCAGGAGATGAAAGAAAAAAAAAATGAGAGGAAACACCAGCCGAGAAGAAGAAGAGGAAAATGTTCATCTTCTCCGCTCTCCCCAACACTTCTCATCTTTACGAAGCTTTTTGGTGATTTTTAGTAAAAACAGTTCATGGGTCTGTGTTTGGTCTCCTTTACTGAACACAGACGTGTTACCCGTTGTTACCTTGAAGAGGGTGGTGCTCTGCAGGACGCTGGAGGTGCAGCACATCTCTCTGATGGAGTGCATGGAGAGCTGCGGAGAGCCGATGTCCACCACGGGGACGCCGAGGCGGGCGGCCAGGATGGGCCCAATGGTGCTTCCACAGGGGCTGTCGTTACGGACCATCACATCCTGCAGGACGACGGACCGTCGGTCAGAGTCATTATTACATAGAAGACATGCAGCGCTGTGTGTATCATCTGTAATCACACGCTGTACCTGCAGCGGCACGCCGACCTGGCCGGCCACCTCTCTGACTACGGAGGCGGTGACGGCCGTTGTAGCGTAACGCTGGTTGCTGTTGAACTTGAGCACTGGACCCTGAAATCAAGACGTGGACGTTAGAAACGTTATATTAATCTGAAGGGTGTTTTTCATCATGTCGTGGTAAATACTGATATTTGCATTTTGTCCTTTTGAAACGAATGATGCATCAACATAATCTCTTCACCTTGTGGAAAGCAGGACGATGGTTCTCCTCGTGCTTCTCCCTGATGATGAAATGACATAATGTAAAAGATGAAGACGGCTTCTTCTTAATATCTGTTACAACTCTCTGAGTGTTACTTCTCATGGTTTAACTGCCTGTTTATTGGACACCGTTTTCTTTAAGAAACTTTAATTTCTTGGCTTGATTTTGATTGAGGCGACTCATCTTTAATTAAATCCCAAATATTAAAGAAAACAATATATATAAAATAAATGAGTCAAATAATGCCACAGTAAGGAGAGTCTTCAGTGTTCACAGCAGACAGAACTACTGACTGGTAGTTGGGGTGCACGGCGTGCGCCATGTCGGCGCTGATCATGAAGGAGAGCGGCGCCGCCTGCTGGAAGGCGGTGAGGTTGGAGGCGGAAGAGGAGAGGCGGCTGAGGATGAGCTCCGTCAGGTTGGACTGAGCCCCCTGAGCGCTCTCTGATCCCACCTGCAGGACCGACACACACACACACACACACACACACACACACACACACACACACACACGTTGTGAATTTAGTTTAAGTCTGTTGCTGTTTAGCTTTTCAAGATGACAACAATCAGAAATACAAGCTGCTCAGGAGACTCTGGATCACACCCACCTCTTCGTTGTCGTACAGAGTGATCATGCGGACGTTGGGGTCTTCGTCCAGAGAGTCTCCTGAGCACGACTCCAGCAGCCCCTGACAGGCAGAGAGAGAAGCACTCATGTGGTTAGACGTGACGAAAACAGACTAAAGAAGCAAAGAGAAGATGGAGTCTGACCTGCAGCGCGCAGTAGCAGCTGTGGAGGTTGTCCAGACGAGGAGAGTAGATGAACTCTTCGTACACTCCTCCCAACGCCTGCAGAGGGAAGAGAAGAAGAACATGACCAGCAGAAATACATTCTAATCAAATCTGTTTCTCCTCAACTGTTCATGAAATAAACGATTAGAATAGAACTTCTTCTACAGTGTTTTTGCATTGTTCATAAACATAAGAGATTCTGCTGGTTGTCTGAAGTCACTGCTGCTGTCGGGGGTGAACCTGGATTATTACCGGTGACAGGAAGTCAATGGATTACTCGTCGACTCACCGCGGGCTGAGTGTCGGCCAGACAGAGCTCAAAGTCCAGCAGGGCTTCAGGCTCGACGCCCAGCTCTGAACACAGCACCTTCACCAGCGCTGGGTGGTGCTTCTCCGCCTGCACAGGGACAGTGCAACACAAACTTTCAAATTTGGTAGAAAATCAGCCATAAGAGACAGACAGTGAGGCCGACAGAGACGACATTCCTGGATGTGTAGTTCTACAGATGTGTCTGTTTTACCGTGTTGACAGCACAGCTAGCATCTCCGCTGGATGCACAGCCCGTCTCCAGCTCCTCCTGGACGACGGTGGCGATGATCGGCACGCTGAGAAACAAATACATAAACATAACAGAGTTGGCACAAACTCCACAGTCAAACTGTTTTCATTCTTGTCTCTGAACTCAACATGTATAATAGTCCTTGAATCCTGAGCGTCCATGCTTACAGGTGGTTCTCCTTGTTGGGGCCGAAGGAGTCGTTGACGTCTCTCTGCAGGTGGATGGCCAGGTGAGGGATCCTGAGCAGCGGTCTGGACACGTGAAACAGCCGGTGAACCAGCCGGCCGTCGGTCTGGAGGACGACACACACGTCAGAAAGATCTCACCATAAACCCAAAGACATATATATTATATGCTAACACTAAACTAAACGCTGGTAACTATGATCGTGGTACCTTGACCATAACGCGGCCGGCGATGGTTAGGTCACGGTCGAACCAGGTGCTCCAGATGCCTCCGCCGTAGCACTCCACCCCGACCTGCAGACAGCCCTGCTTCGTCCTCTTGGACCTCGGCTTCACCTGAAGCACAAAGACATCATCAAATGGAATAATCTGATAAAAGATGAGGTTCTTCAGCTCAAACATGAGAGGGAGACACCAAGAGTCTCTCCGTTCTGTTGAGCTTTGGCAGCAGAGGATTTTACAAACTAGGAGAGCATCCTCACTGCTTTCTAGGGATGCAAGGAAGCGTGAGATTGTGATTGACAGGTGGACGTGGGCGGGCTCTCACCCTGAGGCAGGGGCTGTCTGTGTGGGCGCCGATCATGGAGAAGCCGTTTCCTGGCAGGAAGCGTCCGCCCACAGCGAAGGCGATGAGGCTGGAGAAGTTCCTGGTCACAAAGTACTGAAGAGAGCAGAGGACGGGATGTAAATATGGATTATTCTACAAGAAACCATGTGCAACTAATGTGATACTCTACTCCCCTTACAGAGGACCATGAACCCACCTTGCTGGACGGCTTGATGTCCCACTTCTCAGACTCCTTCAGCTCGATGAAGCCGGCCTGCAGCAGACGCCGCTTGCATTCTTCAACCACTACAGGGACGAACGGAAGAGACAACACGACTCTCTGTCAGAGACGTTCATTGGGTTTCTAAACCCAATGAACGTGGAGTCATGTTTCATTGAAGCTGGAAGGAGTTCCACCAGTCTGCAACACCAACTGAAAGACTGTCGACGTCTTTGCTCCTCTGACCAGAAGATGCTTTCTATTGATTTGTTTTTTTAAATGTTTTATTGTCTCTTTTATTGCTCATTTAAGACTCTCTCTGTGTGGAACTACAGGTCACAGTGCAAAGATAGGAGACATTATGAAACATCCGATTCATCTGCAGAAACTTATCTTATCTAAAGCTCAAAGTCAGCTGCTAACCTGCAAAAGTCTCGACTCAGCACCTTCTTCACGCAAACACATGCTCTCTCTTTGTTCTCAACGCTGACATTTTACTGCACAATCAACACTTTTACTTTCTGTTGTTCATACTTAATAAGGTTACTTTTACTTACACGAAGTAAGGTTTTGAATGCAGTACTTTTTACCAATGTGGTATTTGTACTTTTACTTAAATAAAGGATCCACTATTGTCAGTTTCACACAGAATAAGAAGTATTAGTGTGCAGACTGTACCGTGGTATGGAGACACCCCACTGTTCACAAACTGCAGGAACTCTTTGGCTGCTGACTGCACGGCCTCTTTGGAGCTCTTCATGATCAAAGACTGGAGAAACAAAGAGCAAGAAGGAGAAATGAAGAGTCAGTTGCACAAGTTCATCAGAAGCAGACAGCTAAGCTAGCAGCTAGCGGGCTACTAGTTACAACTTCGACACTATTCGCGAGATTCAAATCTTTCCTTCTCTACTTTTCATGAGGCTAGATTTATATATACAATAAGACAATGAGTAGCAAATTCAAATTAGTGATAAAATTGTCATTATTACGCTAAAGCCATAGTCCGATAAAGGACGTACCGCTAACCTTTGCTAACCTGCAACTCGAACTCTCTGGCTCTTCTTCTCCGCTTCTCTTCCCCCGCTGGTCAAAGTCAAAGCAGCTCTGTGTGAGGGAGCAACACCTCCACATACCGCAGCGACAATAATCATTTTTTTATGGCACTTACCTGCATTAATTGCACTGTCAAAATATGAACTCCCGGTGCAATGGCAGAGTAATGACTCGGATAGAGATCTGCTGACTGCAGACCGACAGCGAAGCAGGCGCTGTTTTATTCCAGCCACAGCGCCACAGTGACCTCTATCGGCCGGGCGGTGTAATTACAACCGATTGATTTTTCACAAGCCCACACACATTTTTCACCTTTACCTTCCTCTCCCTCCCCACAAAGAGAAACTGGAGAAGCAGGAGATATTTATTTAGTTATTGTAGATTTATTAAGATATATTTATTATATTTATATTATGGACAAGCACTGCAGTTTAGCATCTAACCAGAAGTGCAGAACAAGTAGCGTGATCATGCACTCATTTCTAGTAAATATAATAGTATGCTCTTTCACTCTGATTTTACTTTATTCATATTTGTATCCAAAGACCTCTCACTGTCTGTCTTTGTTACTCATATTCGTTTACTTCTTATTCCTCCACAGGAACCAGCCTTATATAGTCCTGAAGAACGAGGGAGGAAGAAGAGGAGAGTCTGAAAACGATGAAGAGATGTTTATATCAGCTGTCAGCTCACAGCGTCTCTCCTGCTGTTGAGGAAGCCCAGGGAGATGAGAACACACACACACACACACACACACACACACACACACACACACACACA